TGAAATATCTGTGCGCTTTCTGTAAAGTATTTACGAGGTTTGTGGTTTTGATCATTGCAAATTTGCAATGTTCAGCAAGTTGCAGTTGTTTTTGCACTGTCAGAAGTTTCGTCGCCGGTGAGGAAGTTGATGAATGGCAGACAATCTTTTTAGTGTGGGGGTGTCTGGCTTGCAACTGGCAAAGTCTTAACTTACTCATGTAAATTTAGCAAATAGTGTAGAGGTATTTCAGTTGGACAATTTGATTGCATGTCTGATCTGACGCCAAACCATATATACTTTGAAGAAAGAATATGAGAAGGGCTCTAAAAATGGGCCAATTTTATCATGGGCCAAATCCCTATGTTGGGCTTGTTAAGAAACCTCGTTGGGATTGGACCTGAAAAGAAAAATAGAAAGGTGAAATGCAAATTAACCTAAAAAGATCAGATTAAAATATTTTAGAAAATAGAAAGGAATATTAAACATATACTCCCTCCATTTCATATTATAAGTCGTTTAACTTTTTTTTCTAGTTAATTTTGATCAAGTTTAACGACTTATAAATGAAAAGGAGAGAGTAGAAGCATAAAATATTTTTTTCTCTGACACATTTTCCCTTCACAAATTAAGCAACGTGAAGTTATGTACAGTAGTAGTATCGGTAAACTGTAATGGCCAATGGAGCTCCTTCATGGGCCAAAAACATGCAGTTTTGCAGATAGTGGAGGACTCGGGGTGTGTTTCATGCGGACAATTTGATGGCATGCATGTCTGATCTGATTCCCAGCCATATACTTTTGAGAAAAATGATAAGACTCTAAAAATGAGCCCTTTTATGTGCCAATTAGACCTCACAAAGGTTGGCCCATGAGAAGGAAATAGAAAAGTGGGGATTACTGTATTTCTCTGACACATTTTCCCTTCACAATATTAAGCAACATGATAATTAAGTCCAGTAGTATCTGTAATGGCCAATGGGCTCTGTCACGGGCCAAATACCAATGTTTGTCCTGATCAGTAGGCCTCATTTGTTTGGCCCATATATATACGGAAAAAGGTTAAGAATAAGCCCAGTCATTCTCCATCTTCCTACAATCATGCAAGTCTGTGTACATCTAAAGATTGCATTTCCCCCCCCCCCCCCCCCCTGATGTGAATTATAGCTGTGCTGATTTTCTCTACCCATCCTTTTTGAAATAGGGCGTCGATTTTGACAGGAAAGGTACATACTTTATCAATATTCCTCTTTTTGAATTAAAAAAACTTCACTGTATACATGCATGTTACATACCACAGCACTGCCAACTGCCAAGCTAACTTGACAGCAATTGGTAGCACACACAGTCCATCAAACGAATTAAAGCCAGATCTGCCCATGAAATGATGCGATTTTTCAAGCTTCTAAACGGAGCAATTTTTAAAGGGACTACCTATACATCATGTGATAGATTTTTTAACCTCCTATCATGCAGATTTTTTATCCTTTAGATCAACATCCAATGGATGACATTAATATACACAAACAAAATAAAAAAAACAAACGGCCCACATGGACAATCTAAAGATCATAGGGGTTCAAATGGGCTCAAATAGATTTCAGACTTATCATAAATACACTAAAATTACATATGTAATTTCTAGACTTACATCATAAATACACTAAAATTACATATGTAATTATAGTGTAAGTACGATGTAATTAGTACGTGTGGGATCGATATTATGTGAGCAAACTTCACGTTAAATAAGGGTAAAAAGAGTAACATAAGGGTTTTATGGTGTGAACACGTTAATGATCAGACATTGGAGTCCAATTCCATGCAGCCACAGGACATACAAAACCGAATCTTAGTGTCAAATCGAACGGATAGAACAGTGACAGATTTTTAGGAAAAAAACTGTCGACAAAGATATAGCAATTCCGATTTTTAAAAGAACTTTCTACATATGAATACCTGATAAACCCATTCTAAATCCATTTGATTTATTTGTATCCTCCAACAATTATCACAAATTATTTAACTACGACAAAAGAACATCCATTTAACTAGTTGTAGCGGTTAACTGAACTGCTTTATGCATAACTGAACTCTGAACTTTGATGCCTGAAGTCTGAACCGTACGTGATAAACGTGCGGCGACGTCAAGCAGAGGGCGGCAGACAAAAATTAAAAAATGGAAAGGAAAATTTTGGTCGCATCCGTCACCCGTGCCGTAGCGTGAATACATACGTGATGGCCACTAATCCACGTCTCACTAAGATAATTAGAGTAGTATTAGTAGGGATGAAAACGGAGCGGATACGGACGGATAATGCTTATACCATATTCGTTTTCATATTTTTTACCGGATACGAAAACGAATACGGATAGCTCGAATACGGAAACAAATACGGATTATCTCGAATACGAATAAGAATCGAATATGATCGGACACGAATACGGAAACAAATTTTTCTCGGAACACAAAAACCAACTCAACTTCTAATAGAAATAAATATCAACATATATAATTAGCTCATTTTATATAAAATGAGGTATAATTTATAAATATTTTTTAAAATTTAAATAATATTAATAGTATGGATTAGTGTTAAGAGATAAATTACTATTAAAATCTATAAAGGTATATTGAAGGTTATAGAGTTAGAAAGAAATGGGGTATGTCTCATGGGTCCTGCGGATATCCGAATAGCACTGTTCACCGGATATCCGAATTATTATCCGTATCCGACGAAAACCCTGATATCATATTCGTATTCGTATCCGGGAGAAAATATCCGTATTCGTATCCGTATCCAAAATATCCGAGAATTATCCGATCCGAAAGGTATCCGTATCCGTTTTTGTCCGGAGCGGACAGAAACTATCCGCTCCGTTTTCATCCCTAAGTATTAGTATTAGCTCCATCTTAATCTCCTTTCTCTTTCGCACTCTTTCCCGTTCTAATTGCTCTGAGACTATGATATGCAGAGTATTAATAATGGCCGCCACAATTGGTTCATGATCAATTTAGTTGAACTAATCATCACGATTAGACAGCTGAGAGTATTACAAAATGAATAATATTCGTCCCCGTGACGTGCCAATCGTATACTCGAGAGCCTATACAGCGATGGATCCGACCGATAATCTAATGCATATATAACTAATCTCTGGATGATATTGGGAGGATAACTGCATCTAATATTTCATTTCTGTTAACCTAAGAACATCTCCTTTTAGATAAACAAAAATGTTAATCTCTGCATCTTAGATATGTCAATCCAACCATGGGAGTACGAATCTGCAACGTATCTAACCAAGAAATTTTGTAGTACCTGTTGGTACAAGCCTGGACGTACGTGTACTACTCTGAAGAACCGGACAGTTTCAGAAAAAAAAAAAGAAAAAAAGAGTCCGAATTCGAGCACGCTGTCCTCAGATCGGCCACACAACGATGGCGGCGAGTCGCCGTCGCCTGTGCCTCACCGCCGGCGAACTAGCGGCGGAGGCGGTTGCGGCCGGTGTCAATCTCTGTCGGTTTCAGCGCCGCCCGGCCGTACAAGCCTCTGGTGCTTTTTTTTTCGAATTTGCTAGAAAACTTTCACAAGTTTATTTTTTCTCTCAAAACTTTCATATTTGTAACCATCCGATCGTCTCCAGATTTATGAACGAAAAAAAAATTGATATAACAATTTTTTTCACACATGTCATGCTTAGAATTCGGTACTATCTAACTAAACCATTGTTGAATTCAATTTTTAATAAGTTATATAATAATTATAATGTAATTACAGTGTAGTTAGATAGTAGTTATTAAAATGTAATTACACTTCAATTATGCTATAGTTATATTTGAAAGTTTTTTATCGAAAACTTGCGATAGTTTGTTAAGTCAGTGGCCTGCACCATCCAGGCCTCTGCTTTCGGTGGTTTTTTTTCAACCCCTTTGTGATTCATTCGAGTGGAGTTGGTTTGTGATTCATTCGAGTGGAGTTGGTTTGGTTCGGATGGTGGGGGAAGTGAAAAGTTTCGTGCTGGCCATAGATAGGATAGGATGTCATTTTGTAGCAACATGTCTCATCTTTTTTAGAAAAGGTTTATTATAGCTAATAATCCTAGTTAAATGTTGCCCTCGTAAGCAAATGATGAGCACGCAATCACGAGTATTTATAACTAATAACGATCGAATTTTCTATGTTTAGGTTTATATAGTGTTTATGTTAGCAATTGGGGATATGATGAACTAGAGTGAATAGCCTTATTTAGAGCGTGCACACGCTTTACCAAATTGTTTTAACCTTTCTAAAGTTTCGAGTATATGTCACTCGTTCACCGGCAAAACTTTTTTTTTCTTCTTTTACGAAAGACAATAGGAGATCGGGTCTCCTACTGTTGTATATCACAGCTAGAGTTTTGATAGTTTATATTCATAAATTAGTATTTTTTTAAGCTTTGTATTTACATTCTTAGTAAATTTCAGCAAACTCTATATAGTATTATAATTCAGGTTGCACAAAATCACAAAGATTTAACACATATATTATTATGGTCTTATATTTTCACAACCGATTTTTCTTTGATTTGCCATATAGTATATGAGTTCTAAAGTACTTTTAAAATTTATGATGCGTCTAATCCATCATATAGAAAATTATAGTCATCTAAGTTAATTATTGTTTTTTGTCTACTAAAAAATATTGATTCAGGTTGGTTGAGAGGTATGGTTTTACAAAATCTTATGGTCACAGTATCCAGGGTTTTCTGCACACGATAAAATCCGACCTCCACAGTATACACCTTGATACTATATGTTGTACGAAGTTTACTCCAGATTTACAAGATCTAGATTAAACTTCATAGAACTATAGGATTTCAAACTATCGGATTTTCTACGAAATTTACTGAAGATTTTCTTATACCAACGCTGAAACTGCCTCCTTATTACTCCAAAAAGAATACTGTAGGAGTATATAATAGGAAAAAGAATTAAAAAAATTCCAAAAAGACTAGTCTTGTCAAACGCCACCGATTTCAACCAACTCCCCTGCGATGCTGAAGCAGAAGCAGAGGCGTCATCACGCTCGCCCACTCGCCCACGTCTTCTCCCGCGCGCGCTCTCCTCCTCCTCGACTCGCGCTCGCGCTTAGCCTTAGCTCCTCTCCTCCTCGCCGCCGCCGCCTCCTCGGGGGTCAAACGCCTCATCACCAACTGTTCGATCGTGTCCCCCGCCTGCCTCCATCGCTCGCCATGTCCTCCGCCGCCGCCGATCGGAGGCGGGCCGAGGCGGTCGCGTGGCTGCGCGCGCTGCTGCGGGGATGCGGAGGAGGAGGAGGAGGGCAGCCGCTCCCGCCGCCGCACGCGTCGGAGGACGACCTCAGGGCGGCGCTCGCGGACGGGGCGCTGCTCTGCGCCGCGCTCCGCAGGCTCGGCTGCGACCCCGCCGCCGCCTCCGACGAGGTAGGCCTCCTCAACACCCCCTTCCCCCCATCGCGCGTCTCTCTCTCTTTCTCTCTCTCTGGGGTTGTGATCGTCGCTGGCTGTTGCTGCTGTTTCAGGGCACGGGCTCCGCGGCGGCGGCGGCGGCGGCGGCGGGGGAGGGCGATGTCGGGAGATTCCTCGCGGCCGCGGAGCGGATGGGCCTCCCCGGCTTCTCCCCCTCCGACCTCGACACGGTAAGCCTGCCTTCCTCCGCGTTGCATCAGAGAATCAGATTGTTAGTTGTTTTGGATTATCCATTCTCGCGTAGATAGCGACATGAAATTGATTGCTGTGCGGTAGAGCTTCCCGTCCAAGGAGATCGCAGTTTGCTTTCGGCGTAGGTGGTTGAGAGGGCTGTGAATTGTGAATTTTCGGCTTGTTGATTGGCCAAATGATGCATCAACCATTGTCTGTTTCTACTTGGACAAACAGGTAGCCCATACTGAATTTGGTTTGCGATAGCCTGCAATTTGTCAGGAAAAAAAAGAGATAGGGGGTTCACAATTCCTTTTTTTTCACAGCTTAATAATTTCTTTCATGTTGCTATTTGAAGTTGAATTTGGTCATACATTGATGATAATTAATCTGTATGGAACTAAAGAAGTTAGTCATGGACTATAAAATGTATTTTGATGAAATTGCAAGTTGAATCGTTTGTTGTTCAATGATTCCGTTTATGAGAGCTGAACAACCTCTGCAATGTCTTAGTGAGTTGTCGTATTGGAGTTCCATGGATTAATGATTTTGGATGCTCTGACCATATTACAACTGTTGTCGTGTATAGAACGTTGCCATGCGACTCTGTTTGTGTTTCCAGCTCGTTCTGCAATATGATTAAGATCTATCTTCCCATTCTCGTTCGATTTTTTTATTGTCATGATTGGCAATCATCCAGGGCCCAGTATCATCCGTTGTTACCTGTCTTCTTGCACTAAGGGATCAGTTTGTATCCCATGATGTGGGAGGCTTGAGCTGTAGCCTTCCAGAAAAGGTCATGATGCAAAGCATGGAATTTCCCAGAAAGGAGAATGATCCGGGCACACAAAATTCTGAAGGAAGACGAAAGATCCCCAAAAATCCCGCTATGTCAGGTGAAATCTTATTATCTGTATGTTCAGCGCTTTGAGTAAACCTTATTTTTATGGATTATGAATAACACAACGAGGACAACATAGAAAACTTTGCAGAACCGTTCTATTCTTTTACTGCTCATTAACAATATTGAAGAACTCAAATTTCAATGGTCAAAATGTACTTCTGCTGCTAACTTGCACTGTAGATCCACACAATTAGTGGTTTGTATGATGTGAGATCTTAAGATATGATGCATTTTCTTTCTATTGTAGAACCATCTTCTCCTTTATCTCAGACCACATTATCTTCTATATCACGCCATGCGGGACACAGTTTTCATGATGTCTTCCAACTCAGACAAGGACGCTATTCTGATCTGCCCAGTTCTAAAATTTCTGAGATGATGAAATCCACCAGCTTGGATGTAAGTTTCGCATAAGATTTTTTTTTGCGAGAATTATTTGCGAAATAAAAATATTTTCTTGCAAAATCAATGATCTTTATTATCTGTTTCATGACAATAATTTTGCAGAATGCCCCTACTCAGTCACTTTTGAGTGTTGTGAATGTGATCCTTGATGAGCTTGTTGAGACGAAGATTGGAGAAATTCCTTATGTAGGCTACTCAAAAGCAATGCAGTTAGTTTGTTCCTTTCATGCTTCAAAATTTTGATATTTTTGTTGTTTATCCCCTTTCATCCTGTTGAATATAATATTCTTTGCACAGCATCTTGCTTGCCTGTTGAGAAAGGTCATACTGGAGATTGAGCGGCGTATTTCTACTCAGGCAGAGCATATAAGAAATGTAAGGGCTACTTTTTCCTGCTTATTTCTCAGATCATTCCTGTTGTAATAGTTGCCTGTATGCAGCAAAATAACCTTATGAAAGCACGTGAAGAGAAATACAAATCAAGGATAAGAGTGCTAGAGGCACTTGCAAGTGGAACAAGTGACCAAACACATGTAAACTCAAATGCAACAAATGGAAAAGCACATGTAAAGTTCAATGATTGTGATCTTACTATGGATTCCAAGTTATTATTGAAACTTTGAATTTAAATGGTAAATTGCCTTGTATGTTTTGTTGATTGTTTTCAGGTTTCTCCAGATCATGCAGTGCACCAGATGAAGGTTTGTTTACTTCTCATGTAAAATAGATACCTCTTTCTATCACCATCTTTGCATATAGTTTACACAAGCTATAGCTATTATTATTTTTAGATAACGGAATAAATTCTGGCTTTTGCTTCAAAGAAGCTACAGCCACTTATTACAATACTCACAAAGAGAGCAAACACTCAGGCAACAAAAAGAACTGAAATAATAAAGCCAACACATAAGAAGAAAACAGTTAAATTCTTTCAAATAATGCACTTGCTGTCAAATTCTGCATCAGTTCTTCAATCCTCACAAAGTAGCACCTGTTTAGAAGTTGAGAAAGATTTTCTCCATCTTTGCATTAAGTAGGAAAAAGATCCATACAACAAAATTATCCATACCAGGAAAGACCCCTTACTGCATGAATCTGTAAGTATCTTTTTTCTTAAGGTCTAGCTTTATTTAACCATCCACCTGAATAGTTGTTAAAGGAGCTGGTACATGAGTTTCGGTTTGGAAGAAAATAATCGATGTACTAGCTTCTGTGGTGACCTGGTAATAGCCTGCTCTGCTAGGTCACCACTTGCATGCTATACCCAGTAGGCCAGTAACCCAAAAAGGCGTCATCAATGAGAATCCACCATTTTAAGATCCCTCTTGCCTGTGTGAAGATATGAGGTGTTTTCTGAAAGACATCGGTGCATCAACATTGAGGCATCATTGTCTATAGAGCTTCAGGTCAAAGCTACTACAGGTTTAGGTTCTCCTGTTCAGCGTACTGCTTATATTAAGCCTCTTTGTATGATGAAGCTTATATTTGAGAAGCTGCATCCTGAACTTGCAGTTGTCTCTATTGACCCATTTGCTGTGTGCTAATAATAAGTCGTTTTTTTTCCGCAGATGGAGAAAGACAAAACTGAAGATAAAAAACGATTAGCCGAGAAAGATGTAGTATTGTTGGTGAAGGACAAGGAAGAAGATGTAACTAGATTAACAAAGGATAAAGAAGACATGGCAAAATTGTTGAAGGACAAGGAAGATATAATTAGATTGATGAAGGAGAAGGAAGAAATGGTTTGGATGATGAGGGAGAAGGAAAACATGGTTAGTTTAAATAATGGCAGGGTTGAAGATAAACATCAACTGACAGATAAAGATGTAGCTAATTCAGCTAAGTACAGGAATGAAATCATTAAGTTGATGAAGGAGAAAGAAGATAGTAATGATACAATTATGAAATTAAATATAGAACTGGAAGCTATGAAATCCTCATATGAAGGAACCCGCATTCTGTTAGATTCTAAGAAGAAAGAGGTACTTCAGCTTTTGATGGACAAGGAGAGCATTGAATATATAGTATCACAACTTAAGCAAGAGCTTGCAATAGAAAGAAGCTCACATCAGACACATATTCAAGAATTGGAGACTAGGGCTTTTCAGGCAAATAATAAATTAGAACAAAGGATAAAGGAAATGGAGCTCATGCTAGAAGACTCTAAAACAAGAGTAAGAGATCTTGAGGAATTGTTAGAATCAAGAAGCCAAATTTGGGAGCAAAAGGAAATCAGGCTGAACCAATTTATTGGTCTACAAATACAGAATATTCAGGTATTGATTGGCCATATCACTTTTTCCCACTATATTTCTTTTAAGAGTTTGTGAAGTCATCAATTTAAGCTTAAAATTGTCCCTTACCAGGATTTGAGGTTGTCTTCTGTTTCCATCAGGCATGAAATCCTACACTGCCAGAAAAGATGGTCTGAAGAAATTTGTGACCTCGGTGAGAATAAATGAAATAAGTTATTTTAGTCCACATGGAATAGACATACTGTAGTTATCATTTTATAACTTTCATATCATTTACAACTCTGCAGGACAAAGCCTTAAGGTATTGACAAATGCTGCTGAAAATTATCATGCTACTCTTGAAGAAAACAGAAAATTATTCAATGAGGTTCAGGAGCTAAAAGGTTGCAAAGCAAACAGTATTGCTCATTTATATGCTGATATCCTTAACTATCAACTTCTTATATTATATGCTTATTTATCAGGAAATATCAGAGTCCATTGCCGGATAAGGCCTTTTCTTCCTGGAGAGGATCAGACATCTACTACAATTGAATATGTTGGTGATAATGGTGAACTAATTTTAGCAAATCCTGCAAAACGAGGAAAGGAAGGACATAAGTTGTTCAAATTCAACAAAGTTCTTGGCCCCTCTGCTAGTCAAGGTAAGAATAAAAGCGACACTTAAGTGAAATTTGTTGTGCTTTAGTGTTGATTATACTAATTGTCCAGAGAAAGTACCGAAATTTTGCAGTGCTAACATACAGTTTATGTTCATTTGTATATTCATTTTCTGGCTAGATGAGGTATTCAAGGAAATTCAACCACTAATTAGATCAGTTCTTGATGGCTATAATGTTTGTATTTTTGCGTATGGTCAAACTGGATCAGGGAAAACATACACAATGGTATGATGCTCTCAGCATAAGAATATTGATCTAATTTATGTCATTGAGAAGTACTATTGACATTATTAATGTTCTTGCCATGCCATTTTTACAAATATCTTAGACTGGACCTGAAAATGCAACCGAGAAGGATTGGGGTGTCAACTACAGAGCTCTGAATGACCTATTCCATATCTCACGGAGTAGAAGAGACACGGTGATGTATAAAGTTAGTGTTCAGATGATTGAAATATACAATGAACAAATCCATGATCTCCTCGGCAACAGTGGTTCAGAGAAGAAATATCCTTTTGGATCACAGGCTTTAAAGTGATAAATAATATTATTTATTGACAATTTTGCACAAGTAGTTTGTGAATTCACTGGAAAGTTTTATGCACATGAATTTCCAGGGCAACACATTTCCATTTCATGCAACTGAGTTTCATACATTGTCTGCAATACATCACTATTGTCTCGGTGACAATGAATGACGTGTTGTAGATATGGATGAAACAGAGGCAAAGTGTAGATTTATCCTTAATTTCTCTGTTGATGTAGTCAACATCAAATCACCAGGTTTTTTGATTTGGTTAACAACCCCAGCACAACTGTATCCACTGCCTAGCTATGGACTGTCAGTTGATTCAGTTCGTAGAAACGTGAAACATAGTTGGTCACCATTTTACCACAATTAAATAAAATCTAGATATATGTCCATCTTGTAATGAGACACCTTTAAACCTCCACAAGAAAGTGATTCCTTATTTTTCTTTAACTTGCGCACACTTGGGATTTTGAATGCCAGCCAACCCAATGGGCTTGCTGTTCCTGATGCAACAATGCATCCTGTCAACTCAAGTTCAGATGTTATTGAACTAATGAGAACAGGACTTGAGAACAGATCTGTAGGCGCGACAGCATTGAATGAAAGAAGCAGCAGGTCTCACAGGTAATTTTTTTCGTTTCATGTTTCTGATACCATTTCTTTTCTGCTTCTAATCAAATATAAATATATAAGCTTATTTTGAGTAATCTTTCAGTGTAGTTACTATGCACATTCAAGGTGTAGATCTAAAAACCGGAGTTACTTTGCGTGGTGCGCTACATCTTGTTGATCTTGCTGGAAGTGAGAGGGTTGATCGCTCTGCTGCTACAGGAGATAGACTAAAGGAAGCACAACACATCAACAAATCTTTGTCTGCTCTCGGAGATGTCATATTTTCTTTGTCACAAAAGAATGCTCATGTACCGTACCGGAACAGCAAGCTTACACAAGTCCTGCAAAATTCTTTGGGTGCTTACCTTTGCTAATCGATTGTATAACATTGTTTTACATATTTAAGCTTACACGAGTACTGCACAATTCATGGCGTACTTACCTTTGCCAATCAATTGTATAACATTGTTTTACATATTTTGTTTAACCTAAACGTTTTCATGTGTAGGTGGCAATGCAAAGACGCTGATGTTCGTGCAGGTCAATCCAGATGTCTCATCTTATGCAGAGACTTTAAGTACTTTGAAGTTTGCTGACAGAGTGTCTGGAGTGGAACTAGGTGCTGCAAAGGCAAATAAAGAGGGAAAAGATATCAAAGAATTCAAGGAGCAGGTGACAATTTGCATTTGCCTTTTGCTGACAGTGTTATTACTCTCGTTTGAGGATGGCACTAAATAAGGATTTACCTGCCTCTGATATTTATATATGTTTTATACTTGTTCTCATACCTGAGGTGCAGTTTACCCTTATTTTGTGCAAAGAGATATGGTTTACGCAAAATTTTACATCAGCATGAGATGAAATAACAGTTATTCTCATCAGATGCTATTCTGAGTGTTAATAAAAGGAAAAGCAATTGCTTACTCTAATAAATTTTCAACCTGCAGCTCTCACTGCTGAAAGATAAAATTGCAAAGAAGGATGAAGAAATCAGCCGACTACAACTACAGAGTCATAATACTCCAAGGGCGACAGCTAAACGTGCCGATTCATTGTTAAAACATTCGTCATCCTCCCCAGGCATATCATCACTAGGAAGCAAAATCCAGCACCGAAGAACAGCATCTGGTGGAAGGATAAAGATCGTTGGCAGTAGAGCAGGGTCGGATGTTGACAACTTCTCTGACATCAGTGACAGACATTCTGAAGCTGGTTCCATGCAATCTGTCGATGATATCCAGCAGTCAAGGGAGATTATGGGTCTCTCTAAGCTCTCCATGAGTGAGATGGGACATAATTCTGTTGACCCTGAGCTTCCTTGCTTTGGCTATGATGATTCAGAGGGGAGGCTAAGCGACATATCGGACAGCGGTCTTTCCATGGGTGCAGAAACTGATTGTTCTATGAGCAGTGTGGTTGAGCTTACCTCCTTGCCAGATCAGGATAGAGTCTCTGGCACTCAGAAAGAGCAACACATGGCACCAAGCACTCCAAAAGATCGGTTGTAAGTACTTTTTGTTCTGCAGTAAATTGATAACAACTAACTGATGAGAAGTAATCTACCAATCAAACTATGTCGGGTCAAGGGGATGAAAGTATGTGAGAAATCTGTATGATCCTAAAAGAATTAATGGGAGTTAGATATGTTACTTATATGACACTTAATCTTGCCTATTTCTTGTACACTTTTATGTTTCTGGCACTGTAGCATCGATATTAACATATGTAAGCACATGTTCTTTTCCAAACAGGCATAAGGTGGCCACTCGAGCATCGAGGACAACTACACCAAAAACACCACAATCGCCTACCTTGTGGCCTAAACTAAGAGATCCACCTCCTCCTAGATCTCCAAGTAAGTTCACTTAGCAAGCCTTACTTTCTTTCTAACTGTGAATTTCTTGAAAAGCATGTGCCCTCCAGGGAAAAAAAAGCTGCACACATAACTTAAAGCATGTTATACTGATATACTCAAGAAGAGAAATGTAATTTTAACGGATCCCACTGACAAGTAAATTTGCTGCGAAGAATAATCATAAGCAGGGTTTACATTATCGATAGAAAGAATTTGAAGTACTTATCCTAACTTCTAATATTCCTACCATCAATTATTTCTCAAATGCTTAGTTTTGAATCAACAAAAATGGTAGTTGTAGATTAAACTTATTAGGTTTTATAGACATTATAATGTAAAATTGATGGTCGCAATTTAAAAAGTTTAATCAAATTGTGTCCTAAGTTTCAAATATTTATGACTGGAGGAAGTATCTAAGAAAGTCTCTTAATGGGCCAAAAGCCCTGTGAAGCTAGGGCTCAACAAGCCCAATTATGTAATGCATGTGAAAGATTCCTCCGTGGTTAATCCCCAACTCCACAGCATGCACTTACCTCCTGAGCTCGACCAAGCACTTTTCCTCACCTCTTCATTTTTTTTCTCAATTTTCTAATAATTTTTGCTATATTTTCCCCCATTTATAGAACCAAAATTAAGTCCAACACTAATACCTGTAGCTTTTCGCTAAATCCGACGATTTTTGTTTTCTAACATGTGGTTATCGCAGCCTCGAAATTTCAACCATTTCACTCGGTTTTTGGTGGATGTTTAACGGAACCCCAGAATTCAAATTCAAATTTTGGTTTCAAATTTTGTCCAAAATTTATCGGTTTCCCAGAGTGTCCATCAGAAATGTAAACTCTGATCATAAGCATTCTAATGATTTATTAGCTATACAGATGACCAAAGTAGCCAGGGCCCAAAAACTAGCTGCTATTTTGTGAGAGAAAATGTATGGACTAGCAGTACTTCAAGTGTTAATTTTGCTTGATAAAATGATCATGTCTGATAGTACTTCAAGTTCAACTAGTACAGTAAGGGATAATAAGTTCAAAAAGTTCCAAGGGAATTACCACAAATGTAAGTGCTATTGCAAACTGTTCACTAATTTTCTTTTTGCAGTATCTACAAGCACAGGAAAGGTCAGAGTAACACAGGCAACATCTTCATCAAGAAATTCCAGTACTCAGAAAAGGTGGACGTAAAAGCTGTGCATCCTTGACGAACATCTTGCAACATTGGTATAACCTTTTTGTACATTACATCTAGAAAAGCATTTGTTTTGTTATTTAATAGATACTACTCATTGATTCTGCACTCTGGTTTTCTTTCACAATTGAAGAACTGCAAAACCAGTTGGAATAGATTGTTCCCTGTAAATGCTCTTGTACATATGCTATGTTCACAATACGATAAACATTTGATGTGTTTATTATAAGCAATGAAAAGACGGTGAGCTTAAGACATGAGGAACTTAGTATACGAAATACTCAAATTTTTTCTTGCATAAAACTTCATGTTGATTTTCCCAAAGATTAGTGACATGCCCATGCATTGCAGCGGGTCAGACCCAAATGATTGGGGATGGGCTGGGAGGGTGGATAAGTCAACTACTGTAGTAGAAGAATCACTCCAAATGAAAAAAACAAAGAAAAATGACCAACTATGTAATTTACGGCAAAACAGATCTTCTGAACCCCTAACATTAGAATTTGCAAGCAAGGAACATACATATTAGGCCTAATTTAGAATGTGGGAAGTTTTTCCCATCTTTGTGGTATTGAGTTCATTCCTGTGAAGAACATGCAAAGTTTCTATGAAATTCTTGCATTCGAAAGGAGAACAGGAACTTGCAGCATTTTCACATGGAAAATTCCTGCATTTGAAACAGGACCTTATAATCATTTATAAGACCCTGTGGTCACTACACTTGATTTCTATTGAGAATTTGTTGTGACAAAAGTAATCCAATGGAAGAATAGGCCACGAACAAAATTTCTGACAACAATGCTCTTATAAAGTTTACATTTCCAAAGCTAAAAGGTCATATGAAACCTCGCCACATTTGGCGATGTATGGAATACAGAAAACCTACCAGCATATTTACATGGCATATATAGACCACAAAAATGTGAGGATAAAAGAAGATATTATCTGTGGGGAAAGGACAAAAGAAGATTTGGTTCAAAACCAAAAAAAAGTTTCCAACCAGATTTTGCCTGTTGTTTCAATGCCCCTATCGATGTTGGAAGTTCAACTTCTTGATGCAAATGGCATACATGAACGCGAAAAACACAGCGAAGAGCACGAGCACCGGCGCAACAACTGGCATAAATTTCCTGTGATATCCAAAATGATGAGTAACATAGTAGCTGATTGTCTGGTTGGATTGGCCAGGGACTGAGATGATTTGTTCTAGGTCTCCATACTGTGTCACTATGAGCCCATACACTGTCCATGCCAATGGGCAAAGCCAGTAGTACCAGATCCACCATTTGGGAATCCTCTGAAATAAAACATGAATAACACCATTACTTTGATCTTCCAAGAAGAATAAAAAGTTCAAAGAAACGGTTTGATCCAAGAAAACTCACTGGTCTCGGAATGAAGAATCCTGAGAATAGGTTGAACAAGGAATAGAACGCCGCGGCAAAGATGGCTGCAACCTCATGGTTTGGTGAGATTGCCACCGTCATCATACCATAGTAGGTGAAGTAGAGAAATGAGAAGTAGGAGACGAAGAAGAACCAGAAGAACTTGGCTGCTGTCCACTGGAAGCTCATCATGGCATAAACAATGAGGGTATAATATGCAGTTTGGACGAACACATAGGGTATCTCCATGACAACCTACAACAAATTATCAAGAGTTGAGCAACTCCTGGAAACAAATTATACCTTAACTGCCTTAGCTACCACCATAAGTTACCTGAGCAATGGCATAGGGCATAGCAGAGTACATCCCAGCAGCCCTCTCTCGGTAGAAAACTGTTCTCTCAATCGACACGATTGGCTGCACAGTCGCACAATTGTTGATACCGATAAACATCACTGCTGTATACATTGCTCCAATGACCATTCTAAGAGAATTGGCATTTCCCCTGATCATAAGACACCAAAAACGTCAGATACTGGAACATTAAGATTAAGGAGTCAAAGATGAAAAAGAGAGGAAGTATTTACATCTTGGTGCCGATCTTCCAAAAGATGGTGCCGAGTAGCAAGGCTGTGAACAGAGTGAAGGAAAATCTAACAAGATTGTAATCTGGGCTGCGCCAATAGGTCAGCCATTGCTTCCAGAGGCAGGCCCTAAATTGCCCTATGGTGGATTGAGAGTATTTTGTAGGAAAATGCAGATCTGATGTTCCTGGCTCTGGTTGACTTAGCTGATTCACCAATACCTTGTTTTGCCTGAAAACACGGCCCATCTATTCCATGAGAATTGACACACAACAACTAAAAACTTTAAGAAGAAAGATAAGAGTTTAAAAGTAGAAGAAAAAAAAATGTTTCGCTTACTTGTACAGGTCTGATGTCTTATAGTACTCAGCAAAGTCCATATTTAAGCGTACTTCCGCAGCAACTGAACTGACCTCAAGCATCCATGTAGCTGGATTGTACTTATCTTTGATTTTAGGCACACCAGGAATTGCCTGGTAATATTAAATAGCAGATTGGTTAGAAAAGTAAATTTATTCTAGTTATTCATAACACACCTTCCACTTAGCAAAAGTTAACCACCATCTGAAACTATCTGTACCTCGAAATATTCAATCATTTTCTGGGAATTACGACCCAATTGCCCAGAGTATATCACCTGCCCTCCTCTTTTCAGTAGTAGCAGCTGCACGAGAGTTCAAGCTCGAGTTACTATTTAGTTACTAAAAGGTGGAATTACTATGTAAGTAAACTATTCATAGTCACCTCATCAAAAGCCTCAAATATGTCAATGCTTGGCTGGTGAATTGTGCAAACCACTGTCCGTCCAGTGTCAACTGTGTTCCTCACTGTTCTCATAACAATGGCTGCTGCTCTTGCATCAAGACCTGAAGTCGGTTCATCCATGAAGATGATCGAGGGATTTGCAACAAGCTCCACTGCTATTGTCAATCTCTTCCTTTGCTCTGTTGAAAGCCCTGTGATTCCAGGCAGGCCAACTAACGCATCCTTCAGATTGTCGAGCTCCACTAGTTCCATAACTTCATCAACAAATTGCTGGAAACAATTGAACTTGTGAGTTTGACAAATTGTGACGACAAATCCTAGTAATCAGAAATTAACCACCCAATATTCACAAAAAATTAAAACACCTGATTGACAATAATGTTTTGTGTTAGCAACAAACAAAAGTAAATGACTTATAATACACCCTGATGATGAAAAAAGATGCAGTGTTTTGACAAGGAAAAAGACATGACTTACAATCTTGATATCATCAGTGATTTCTTGATCTCCTATTTTTTCTGGAAGGCGCAGGAAAGCAGAGTATATCAAAGACTCCCTAACTGTGACCTGAGGTGAATGGATATCGTTTTGCTCACAGTAGCCAGAAATTCTTGCAAATGTTTCTTGGTTCTTAGGATAACCAGAAATTCTCATATCTCCTTCAATGTAACCACCAGTCTTTCTTCCTGCCAAAACATCCATAAGAGTTGTCTTTCCGGCTCCACTGACTCCCATGAGTGCTGTCAGCACTGCAGGCCTAAATGATCCAGTAACGTCACGTAACAATTGGAGCCTATCATCCACCACTCCTTGCTGCTTCATTTCCTATGTATAAAACATTAATCTCAATCAAATATTACAAATTTTCGATTGAGGATACGACAGGGAACAGGACAAGATGCCAAGAGAAGTTAAGCATAGGTAAACTCACTGCAGGCATGTCGACATAGTAGTTCACATCATCAAAAGACATGGATAGAGGAGTAAATGGAAGAACCATTCCTCTTCTTGGACCAGCTTCATTGCTACCAATGGACATCAGTCGTGAAACTCCATTCGATGAACTATTGCTCAGACGAGCACTCAATCTCATCTCCCTCATTTCTTCTGAAATAATTGCCTTATTATTCCTCAGTTTTAAAAACTTCCAATTTTTTCAGATTTAATTATGACTTGAAGAGTTTCTTACTGTGATTTCCACCATTTGATTTTGTGCTGCCATTTCTTACTGTATGTCTTGCATCCCCATTGCCTTCCGCTTCCTTCGCAGTTTCTTCAGATATGACAGCTTGTGGTTTGCCCAGAGCTAACAATCAAAGAACCAGCAAATCACGTATTGGTCCAATAACTATAATCACATAAGCATTTAGATTTTAATTCAGATACTTACGATTCAGATAAACGAGTGACAGAGTGAAAAGCACATTGAAAAACATGGTGAAACCCAGGAGCCCTGCTGCTCCAATCCAGAACCAATTTTTGTCAGTGAAGATGTTGGCACCTTCCATCAGAGCTATTCCTAGTCTTTTAGGAACGCCATTGTTATCCTGTCAAGATGCATGCAAACATTGTCAGAAAACATATTTGCAAGGGATTTTAAGGTTCTTGAGGCGGTACTACAAGGTAAGCCTTTTCTGTTGTACCTTGTGATACTTCCTCAAGGACTGTAAAGAACCTCTATACGCAAACAAGTGAAAAGGCAGTGCTATAATGAGCTTACCAGTACAAACTTGTTCATCCACCGAGGAGAGTAGAATTCATTGACTGCTAGAGCATTATACCCGTACATCAGTGGTGAAACCCAGTAACCCCAGATCCACCATTTTGGGATGAATGCTGTTAACAGTCAAGGGCAAAGTAATATTCAATAGAGCTGCAACATTTATGTGCAGAAAAAACGTGGAGTGAAAATAATTAGATAAGTAAAAAAAACCTTTTGGCAGAAGAAATCCTCCAAGAACGAAAAATATGAGAAGGGCCAGGGCTCCTCCAGTTTGAGCAATGATCATGGATCTGCACAGACCAGCAGTTGCTCTGAAAAGGCCACCTGCCATCTGCTGGATCAAGAACACTAGCAGCAACTGCTTGAAAAATCTGTGCAGAAAGATGATAGGTAAGTGGACAGAAACCTTGCTTTCCTGAATTCATGTTTAATTCTTTTTCTGCTTTTTGTGTACCTGTCAGCCTCTGGGGCAAATCCTATAGTGTAGTATGTAACAATCACCCAGACTATAGATTCGATGATGGAAAATGGGATTCTCAGAATAACATTCGGTAGAGTGAAGATCCAAGCAGGGTAGAAGAGGAGGTCCCGGTGCTTGAAGAACACTGGCAACCTTGTGATGGTCAAAGAGAGCTCAGCGAAACCATTGAACATGTTCACAATCAGACTGAAAAGTAGTGCTCCAATGTACACAAAGCCATCATCTAAATTCCTTGTGTGCATCTGGGTCCTAAGAAACACTGTCGACGCGACAAGGGCTACAATGATGAGCTTCAAAGTTCACCGGCAGAAGGTGTCAGTC